TGCATACATGCATATAAGTGCACCTGTGTCATGCAATACCCAAGGAGGTCAAGAGAAGGCACCAGATTCCCTTGGAACTGGAGTTACAGATGGCTGCCAGCGCCATGTAGGTGCTGGGAATCGAACCTTGGTCTTCTGCAAGAGCAGCCATGCTCCCAACCACTGAGCCATATCTCCAGCCATAAGAATTCCAATTTTCCAAAGGCTTTGTCAGCTGTAACCATCAGGGCCAGGAAAATGGTCTCCTCTGCTTAGCGTATGTATGAAGAGACTGGGTCCACAGGGCTTAGGTCCAGAATTGTGAAAACTGCTTTAATGAGGGGCCATTCTTTTCCACTCTGTCCTCTAAAAATGAGTCATTAGTTAACAGGGATTTGCATGTGAACTTGGCCCTCTGACCTGCTCCAATTCCACTTCTTCAACACCGTTTAGTTTGCTAGGTGGAGATGCCAGGCAAAACTAGAGGCAGCAAAGGGGGTATAACAGATCTTACACTGCTCTCCCAGGTCACAGAGAACTCTAAGAACAAGCTTAGAGGCCATGTGGGAACTGGCTCCTTCATTTTTCTGACAAAGGAATCCCTTTAGATTATTGTGTGAGTGTCCCTAGTCACAACAGAAGGGCTGTTTTCTGCCTAGCAAGTCCAAGGTGATTTAAACCTCTCATGATTTGTCTACATGAGTGGGCCTGGCTTTTCCCAGAATACCTGATCTGCCACAATGTGCCCCATTCTATGACCTTTTCGTCCAGTCCAAGTCCCTGCCTGGCATCTTCCCACTAGCCATGTTCTTCCTCTTCTGCCTTGCTTCCTACACCCCAAAGCACCTCTTCACCAAAGGCCTGGATTGGGCCCACTCATTAAGGGGCTACTGGCAGGGAAGGAGAATGGCTCAAGTGTACGACAGACCAGCCAGGGCTTGAGCACCTGTCAAAGATCTGTGTAGGGGAGTGTGAAGAGATGGCTCTGTGGTTAAGAGCACATGCTGCTCTTGCAGAGGACCTGAGTTCAGATCTCAGCACTCATGTTGGCAGCTCACAACTACCTATAACTCCGGCTCCAGAGGATCAGATGCAGTCTTCTGCCCTCAGGGGCAACTGCACTCACAAGTGAATATGCCCACATAGACACAGGCACAGACACATAATTAAAATAAATCTTCTGGGGCTGTAGAGATGGCTCAGCAGTTAAGTGCACTGGTTGCTCTTATAAAGGACCCAGGTTTGATTCCCAGAACCCATATGGTGATTAACAACCACCCATAACTCCAGTTCCAGGGGATCTGATGCCTCTTCTGACCTCCGTGGGCACTGCACAACATGGGTGCCCTTACATACATGCAGGCAATATTTTCAATAGAAAATAAAAATAATAAATAAAATATTTTAAAAATAAATCTTAAAAAAATTTTTAAAAAAAGACTTGTATAGGGAAACATGTCTTCAAACAGAGGGACAACAGGCAGAGGAAATGGTAGGAAGGGGCTCTAAGTGTCTGGCCTGTACTGCCTCTGGCCCCTTCCTCTGAGGCTCCATGATTCCTCTCCTGATGTATCTACTACAATGATGCAGAATGTGAGCCACCCCATCTCAGGGGCTGCTTCTTCCCAGATCTCCAACAGCTCCCCTGAAAGTGAAAATCCTTCCAGAACAAGGAACTCTGTGAGGGACATCAACCACCAGGGAGGCCAGAAGTGTCACAAGCCTCTCTCCAGATTGCAGAGGGCCTGAATAGGCTGACATTTACTGACCACTGTGGTTTGACTTCCTGTGTTAAAAACTTCATCCCCAGTGCAGTAGTTTTAACAGATGGTTATGTGGTAAGTTCTCTGTCCTCATGGATGAGTTGATACCACAGAGAGGGTTCCTTTAGAGGTAAGCACAGGCCCTTCCTGCTACCTCTCACAGTGGGATGCCTTCTGCAGTGTTACAGCATGAGAAAGATGCCCTCACCATTGCCAGGCACTGGATCTTGGACTCCAGAGCCATGTTAATTAGCAACTGCCCCATCTATAGTATTCTTTAATAGCAGCACAAAACAAATTAAGGCATTGATACCCTCTTAGAATTGCATTATCTTAGCAACTGTGGTCATGGAATGTTTGTTGGGGGCATATGGGTTAGGATTCCTTAAAAGTAAGAGCCCAGGATACCTGGTAGACATATTATAAGGGCCGTTTGGGGGACTTTGGAAGAAGGTGCAGGTTATAGTTATAAAGCTATAATATGTGTCAGCAGCATCTGCTTTATTATCGTTTTAGGTGAGACGTGTGTCATACCAAATGATGATACCTTGGTGGGGAAAGTCGATGAAAAGGTTAATGAGCATCATTCCCCACAACCAGGTACAGACCCCGGGCACCCAGGGCTGGGGTATGGCTCAGTACTAGTGTATTTGATGAGCCCACACAGGTCCTAGATTCAATCCCCAGCACCACACACAAAAAATTTGTTTTGAACTTCAAAACCAGATGCCTCATAGTCAAAATTGTCAAGTAAGTAACTATCTTTTCTTCTTACAGAATCCATGATCACTTCCATTGGAAATCCAACCCAAGTGCTAAAAGTTAGAGAGACTTTTGGGACTTGGATAAGAGAGTCTGCTAACAAGAGTGATGAGCGTGTTTGGGTGACTGAACATTTTTCAGGTACCTTATGCTAGAGATGATCCATTTTATGTTGTAATTATATCTGTTGCCTACCTTCAGGCTTTTTCTATAACTTCATATCTGAGTTTGGTATAATGCCCCTTATTTTAAAAAGCACAATTAAGTGGGCAGAATTCCTCCTTTGAATGTGCTGGCCACAAGCCTTGCAGTTAAGGTACTAGATACATGACCAGGACAATGTAAACTATCCGATTTTAAGAAAATACCCAGAAGGAAACAGCCTGAAGTCTGTAGGCCTTATCAACCAAGCCATAATGTGGAAGCAATGTAAGAAACAAATTTTACCACCCAAGTACTAATCAGCCAACCCTGCTTGGCTCAGATCTGGTGCATTCAGTGTGCTATGGCCATAGAAATAGACAAGTTCTATATAGGCTGTCCATATTTCTCTAAGTTTGACTCCAACCCAAAAGAGAGCTTTTGGTAATCTTTCTCACATATCCATTGGACAGAAAGCCCATGGGAGAAAGTGAAGAGCCACCTTGTAGCCTCCTGGCATCAGAGTCTAGGCCTAGCCATGCTGTCCCCAAAGGTGTGATTGGAAATTACCTGTAGCAATAACAGTGGCCTCATTCCAGAAGGGTCTGAAAGTGACATGCTGGTTGATAAAGAGCTAAGAAGAACCAGCTTCTCTGTTTCACCAATACTAACTGATCAGTTCAGTAGCAACTGCCATACCACTAGCTGAGTACGTGGGGCTCAAAGCAAAGAGGAATGTGTGCAGTAGCTGTGATTGTCACAGACAGCAGGAAGGGTAAGAGGCAGCCAACAGTGGCTATACAAGTGCCAAATAGTTGCTGTTCCTGGGACAGACTTGTGATGCTTGATAGACCTTATAAATACAGTATGAAGTGGGATAGGGAGGAGGGGACAGATGTTTTCTCAGAAATGGGCAAGTCTGGGGCTGGAGAGATGGCTCAGCGGTTAAGAACACTGGCTGTTCTTGCAGAAGACTCGTGTTCGAATCCCAGCACCCACATGGCAGCTAACAACTGTCCGGAACTCCAGTTCCAGGGGATCCGACAGCCTCTTCTGTCCTCCGCGGGCATTGCGTGACATGGTTGCACTGACCTACATTCAGGCAATACACGTATACACATAAAATAAAATATTTTTTTAAAAAAGAGCTGGGCGTGGTGGTGCACCCCTTTAATACCAGCACTTGGGAGGCAGAGGCAAGCGGATCTCTGTGAGTTCAAGGCCAGCCTGGTCTACATAGGGAGTTCCAGGCCAGCTGGGACTACAGGGAGACCTTGTCTCAAAAACACCAAAAACAAAAATAAAACAAACAAACAAAAAAAAACAAAACAAAAGTAGAATGAAGAATAAAGTTGAAATTTAAAAAAAAAAAAAAAAGAAAGAAATAGGCAAGTCTGTGACCACTGTGTCTGACATTTCAGGGGCCCATGGGCCAGACTGGACTTGAGTCCCAGGCTTTTCCAATTGGATGTGGAACCTTTGAGAAGGTTCTCATCTTCCCCCACTTGCATGTTTCTCCTTGTGATTGCTGGTGGGAAACAACCCTTTCCTCCTTTCTTCCTGCAGGCATCATGGTGAAGGAATTCAAAGACCAGCTGGCGCTTCTCAATGGCAGTTACACCTTCATCCACCTCCCACATTACTTCCATGGCTGTGGGCATGCTGTTTACAACAACTCTCTCTACTACCACAAAGGGGGCTCCAACACTATAGTGAGGTGAGCTGCCTGAACCACAATGCCCTCCTCTGTACCCTGCAGCATCTCCTCACACTTCTCAGACTACACCCAATGTGTGCTGCCTTCCAGAGCTACTTGGAAGCCGTGTTTTGGTATCTTCCTGTTCCTAAAGAGGATAATCAGATTTATTGACCAAATGAATGGGAGAATACAGTGAGGGAGCGCCATGTTCTGGCCCCTGCCTAGGGTCTGTATTGATTGCTGATCTGGACTCATGGGAAGGTCAGAGGCAGGGAGAGGGAGACATAGAGCAGTAAGTTCCTTTCTTGTGCTGGGATTAAAGGCATGCACCACCATGCCCAGCTTGTTTCCATTTTTTGAGACTGACTATTATATAAATTGGCTTCAAACCCCTGATTCTCCTGCTTCAATCTGCCAAGTGCTGGGATTACAGATGTATACCACCACACCGGGCTCTGATACAGGTTTAGTTCTGAAAAATTAAGGATGTGAGGAATTTCATGTCACAACCGAAACACTTGAAGTTTAGGGGTGGCAACCCAAAGCCAGGGGTCTGTCCTTTCAGACTGACCTATTGGAGCCACAGGCCATCTCACCTTCTCCCTCTGCTTTCCCCCAAGGGAAGGAAAGTGTCCCCCAAATGACAGTCTGTGCCTAGGGCAGCTGCTGAGCTGCTTTACCTCCCCACAAGATCTGTTGGTTTAAGACAAAATAAAGCTTTGGTCTTTAGAGGCAGAAATAAGTCATTTTGGGCAAATCACAAGAGCAGTGAACTGAAAGTCAGGACACCCTAGGTCAAGGTCTTCCACCTACTTCCTCTACAAAGAAACTCCACCTCCTGGGTGTCGGGCCATCATTAGACTGGAGCCTCTGTGTATTCCCTGCTCAGCCCTATATGAGGCATAATTCCCATAGTAAGAGTACCATGGTCTAGTCATTCAAAGCCAGCTGGTAATCTTAAGGGAAGCCCTTTTCCCTCCTTGTCTTCCTCCCTCCATTGGGACATTCAGGTTAGATGGTGGGTGGCTTCCTGGAAGAATGTGTCATTATGTCCATCACAATAGACTGGACTGTGGCAGTTAAGACAGGAGTTGCGCTCTCCTTGCCTCACCCTTCTCTCCAGCTCCCCCATCACCTCTTCTCCTTCCTCTTTGTCATCCTTTTGGGGCAGAGTCTGGTACTAGTAGAAAAGGAAATAGATCCAATGCCTGCTCAGTAGTCCATGCTGAACACACCCCCACCCGAAACTGTTTATTCCTCCCTGCTGCCGAGTTATATTGAGCTTTGAGGCCAGGGGTGGAATAGTAGGAGAGTTCTGGGGTGAAGGAATCCAGAATGAGAAATGGCTTCTTTAAAAAGGTTGATGTGTGTATGTATGTGGTACAGGGGTTGAACCCAGGGACTCAAACACACTAGACAATCTTTACCACTGAGCTATATCCCCAGCACCTTTTCACTTTTTTTTAACTTAAAAAAAACTTTATTGAGAATTTCATACATTGCATATAAGGTGTTTTGATTAAATCCATGTCTGCTCCCTCCCCTCCAGCACCTCCCATATCTCCCCATCACTTTTTTCTGACAAACTTTTCTGATAACTTTTTTCTGATGGACTCTCTTCTTTTTTGATTTTTTTTTTTTTTTTTGGGGCTTTTGGCTACTCTAACATTCTTTCTCTTTCTTTCCTTCTTTCTTTCTTTCTTTCTTTCTTTCTTCTTTCTTTCATGGGGCTTTTTGCTACTCTAATATTCCCCTCTGAAGAGGTAACCTTACAGTCTTTGTTGTGTGAACTCTTTCCCTGGAGAAATGAAAAATGTCTACTCCCTCATAGAGTACCAAGAGTCAAAGTGTGATCCCACTGAAGTCCAGTTTGGGGAACCAGAGGGTTTACCGGACTTACTTACAGAGTGTGGATGACCCCAAAGTGGCTCCACCACTGGGCAATCTCACTCTAGCATAAATGAAACTGTCCCCCTTTCAGTTGTCTTCCCATAGTCTGTGCGCTGCAGCACTTCCCAAGAGCATGAGGCCATGTGCAGTTAGGGCAGACTTACATACAGATCTGGAATCGGGTCTAGAGACTGGCTCAGTGGTTAAGAGCACTGGCTGCTCTTGCAGAGGACCTGGGTTCAATTCCCAGCACTCACATGGTGGCTAACAACCGTCCATATCTCCAGTTCTAGAGGATCTGACACCCTCTTCTTACCTCCTCGGGCATTGCTCAACACGGGTGCACTTACATACATGCAGGCAATACACTCATACAAAAAATCAAAAATAATAATTTTTTTTTAAATGACCAGAATCTCAGGTAAGAGTCCAGTGACCCTCCCACCCTTCTCTGAGGGAACATCAATAGTCAACAAGCCAAACCCTAGGGCTCTCTTGCAAGCAGTCACTGCTGTTCTGATGAGGATGACAGCCATTAATGCTCAGAGGAAAGCACTCTACAACAGTCTTGCTAAACTGCCCAGTCTGGTCTTATACTCATTGTGTTGCCCAGGGAGGCCTGGAACTTACTATCCTCCCACCGCAGCCTCCTGCATAGCAGGGATTACACAGTTGTTCCACCATCAGGCTTGGCTTAGTTGTGCTGCACAAAGTAGGGGACCTGTCCTGAGTCCAGCACTATATCAAGTCATATGCCCAGAGCTGGAGGAGGAGCAGGCCTAAAACAATACCTGAGAGACAAGTTTCGTGGGGAATGTAGCTGCCAGGCATCTGCAGCACGCAGGGCTAGACAGCAGTCCTAAATTCCAAGCCCTCAGAGGAAGCTGCGATGGCAGAGCCCTTCCTGAGTGCTTCTTCTTCTCTGGCCTCTGTCAAATTTCAGGTTTTCCTATCTACTTCTGTTTGCTGTGTTCAAATACCCATCACGGATCACACATACCTCCCGTGCTCTGCTGCTCAGTGGCTCCCTCTGGTGTTTTCTTTCAACCTGATGTCCCTGAATTATTCCAGAATTTTTTTTAAAAAAATAATTTATTGAGGATTTCATACAGGCATATAAGCATATAAGGTGTTTTGATCAAATCCATGCCCACTCCCTCCCCTCCAACTCCTCCCATATCTCCCCATCACTTTTTTTTTCTGATAACTTCATGTACTCTTTTTTTTTTTTTAAATTGGGCTTTTTGCTACTCTAACATTACCCCCTCTGAAGAGATAACCTTAATATCTTTTAAGGATTAGATAAGAGCTCCCAAATACTTTTGACATTTTTGGCCTTTGGAACAGAGTATGTTGCTAAGAGACCCAAGGACATTTTGACTTTTAGCCAAGAAACTGGCTACTTTTCTTTGGGGTCTTTTTACATTAACTGCCTAGCCAATTCCTACCTCCTATTCTTAATCATACCATCCCCTGAAGAGGTTACCCAGCTTGCAGATAGGGAATCAGGATGCAGACTGCTCTGGCTTTTGCCATGCTGAACGGGGATGCAGGGTGAGGCAATTGGGGTACCCTTTCAGTGGATCTATCTAAAAGACTCCCAAATTGCATAACTGTTATCTGTAGGGGGGAAAGAAAGTCCTTGACTTGTGAATAGGAGATGTGAAGGAGAAGTAAAGGCAAGAGTAATTAGCATTACAAGTTCTAGACAGGGAACTAGAACTGAATTATTCCAGAATTTAGTGCTTGAATCATAATTCACTTTTTTGATACTATGTCAGTTTGGAATCTGGCAAATCATACCTCATGAGCTAAAGGACACGGACTTCTGGGCCATGGTTATATTTATCGGCCTCTTAGTCTTAACCTGATGTAAAACCTTTCACAGACTGATTTTGCTTCATTGCTTCTCAGCTGGTGCTTTTTCTTAAAGTGCTGTTAACTTTTTTTTCTTTAAAACTCCAGCTGGAATAAAGAAAAAACTGGAAAACTTGAAGTTAGAAAACTTAAATGGGGTAGGGATGGATGTAGTTCATTTGGTAGAGAGCGCAAAACTTGATTTGTAGCACCACAAAGTGGGCAAGGTAACACACACTTGTAATCCCAGCACTTGGGAGGTAGAGGCAGGAGAATCAGGAGTTCAAGGCCATTCTCAGCTACATAGCAAGTTTGAGGTCCAGCCTCGGCTACAAGTGACCTTGTCTCCAAAGGCAAAAAAAGCAAACAAAAAGGTTAAAGTGAATATCAGGGCTGGAGAGATGGCTCAGTGGTTAAATGCACTAGCTGCTCTTGCAGAGGACCAGGGTTTGGTTCCCAGCACCCACATGGAAGCTAATAACCATCCCTCTTCTGGATCTAACTCCCTCTCTGGCTTCAGTGGGCATTGCACACATGAGTGCATTTCCATACATGTAGGCAAAACACATACATAAAATATAAATAAATAAATTAATAAATAATAAATAAATAAATACAAAGTTTTAAAAATGAATATCTGGGGCTGGAGAGATGGCTCAGCGGTTAAGAGCACTGACTGTTCTTGCAGAGGACCCGGGTTCAAATCCCAGCACCCACATGGCAGCTTACAACTGTCCATAACTCCATTTCCAGGGGATCTGACCAATTCCTCATACACATCAAATAAAAATAATAAAATATTTTTTAAAAACTCTAACTCTGCTGCTTATATTCAGGAATGATTCGCTTTCTTTTTTCACTGTAAAAAGAGAAGATTGGGAATATTTGAAGAAGGCATGTTAGGATGTCCAAAATGCCTCAGGATGAATGAGGTGATATGGTTTCCCAAGGTTACATGACTAGTAAGAAGTCACTTAGATGTGAATTTATTCTGACATCAGGGAGGATGGTCCTGAACAGCACGCTGTCACCTTGCTGCTAGCACAGGCTAGTCACTGTCCTTCACATCCTTGTTGCTCAGAGCATCACTGAAGGGCCAGTAGAATAGAAGTTACCTGGAGTTTGTTAGCAACGTAGAATACCAGGCCTCACTCCAGACCTGCTAATTCAGTTTAATGAGAAGCCTAACAAAACATGTGTCCACAGAAATGATAACTCACATCTATTTTTTTTTACATTTCAGATTTGAATTCAGCAAAGAAACGTCTCAAACTCTGAAACTTGAAAATGCTTTGTATTTTGATCGAAAATACCTTTTTGCAAATTCTAAGACTTATTTCAACCTGGCTGTGGATGAGAAAGGCCTTTGGATTATCTATGCTTCAAGTGTGGACGGCTCAAGCATTCTCGTAGCACAGTTGGATGAAAGGACATTCTCGGTGTTGCAGCACATCAATACCACGTACCCCAAATCCAAGGCTGGCAATGCCTTCGTAGCTCGAGGAGTCCTTTATGTCACAGACACCAAAGACATGAGGATCACATTTGCCTTTGACTTGTTAGGAGGAAAACAGATCAGTGCAAACTTCGATTTAAGAACATCCCAGTCTGTTCTTGCCATGTTATCATACAACATGAGAGATCAGCATCTATATTCATGGGAAGATGGCCATTTGATGCTTTATCCTGTGCAGTTTTTGTCAGCGACATTAAGCCACTGACATGCTACCATCTGTCCCTTCGGTACATTCCACATGTTTCTGGGGCCAGTTCTAGCCCAACAGAAAGCCTGTCTGTAAGGATATCCAGGTACTTAAAGCATGATGCCATGCCTTGAGAATTTGTATGGTCAGCAACCCCCCTTTTGTTTGTTTGAGACAGGGTCTCATTGTGCAGCCCAGGCTGTCCTTGATCTCACAGAGATCCTCCTGCCTCTGCCTCCCAAGTACTGGGATTAAAGGTGTGTGCCACCAAGTTTGGACGGCAAGTCTCATTTAAAACCAGATTGCTTAGTTAAATAGCTACATATTGGAAGTGGAAATGGCTGTGATTTTGTGATTCCTGCAAGTTAGCTCTCCTGCTTGGGCTTGAGTTTTTCCATTGGTAATATGAAACAGCTGAGTATGATTGATAAAATTTCTTCTACCTGCAGGAAATTCTGTGATTCTTGGCTGTTACCCTTCTTAGAAATTATATATGCTATATCTCTGGTCTATTTTCTATTCCTACATGTTAAATTTACCTGTGGCTTGAGCAGTGTATTTATCAGTAATGGCTTACATTTGGTGTCTTGGAAGAGGCACTGGCCCTTTAAGGTTTCTACAGTACCATGCTGTCCATAATTCCTCACTTTTCTCTGAATGTGTATCTGCTACCCCAGAATGGTTATTTTAATATTATCAGGTCCTAATTACAAATCCAAAATTAGTAAAAGCCATGCAGGCTCAGGTCATCAAGTGAAACTACATCAGGCCCTTCCAGGTGCCTGTCAATTTCTGATTATGTCGATTTGCTGCTGGGGATCACGAACACAGAATCCTTAGCCCATTGGACTGCATCTACCATTGCTATGGGTTTGCAATCAGAGTATCAAATGCTAGGTGGGTATTAATCTGGCTAGAACCAGGAAATCTTTGCAGTTTTCAGAAGAGAGGCAACATTTGTGGTTATTTTCTAGAATAAGAGAGGACAAACTGTGGCTCAAAGCCAAAACACATCTTCTGTATCTGTCAGTGAAGTTTTGTTGGGGCAGTCATATTCATGGCTTATGAATTACGTTACAGATCTTGACAACACTAAAATCAGCTGCAAAAGACTATAAGGGCTCTGTAAATCCTGAAACATTATATCTGGCCCTAGACAGGAAAAAAAAAATGCTGACCTTTGATCTAGGACACAAAGTGAGCCTGATTCTGGGAAGGGCTTATTCCTCAGGTCCTGTTTGGCTTTTGTTCAGATTGAGAACATTTAGCGTGGCTTACATTTTGGCAAAGAAGAAAGCTAAGAACAGCGTCAAGCTGAGTGTGGTGGTGTACACCTTTATCCTAGCACTCTGGAGGCAGAGGCAGACGAATCTCTATGAGTTCAAGGCCAGCCTGGTCTACATAGTGAGTTCCAGGAAAGCTGGGGCTACAGGGAGACCCTTTCTCAAAAAGAAAGAAAGAAAGAAAGAAAAAAAAAGAACAGCATCAAATGAAGTATTGAATGAAGAGTTGATCTCTCCCAAACATAGTTCTCAAGGATGGATCTGGTCCTTTTGGCTACCAGGAAACTAATTTAGTTTCACAAGCTCCTAAATGCTCATAAACGTGCATATTTTCTGCCAACTTCTACAGCCTAGAACTAAGTTCAAGCAGGCCAGTACAGTACAGAGGGAGCTGGGAAATTCACCACCCCCTGCAGACAAGAAGAGGAACTAGGGAAACTCACTGAAGACTGGCCAGCAACTTGCCCCAGTGTCCCGGTTTATCTTTTTTAATAGAAGCATTTTAAAACTTAGGGGGTGGGCAAATTTAACTCTTTAATCTCCCCATCCCCTGAAAATTCCCAGGCAGCTATTAGTGATATACTTGTTGTTGCTAAGCTTTCAAGGTAAGGATTCTGAAACTTTTCCACTTTTCAATTAGATTGGTTGTGTCAGGTCATCACAACTTTCAAAAATATTTTCTCAGATTCATTTGCTGTAATGAGGAGTCTCATGTTTGATCAGTGTGTCTAATGAATGCTAGTGTCCTTTTAAAATATTTAAATAAGTCACTGGCTCTGAGTACAGTAAACCCAGACATGAACATAATTTTCCAATAACACTAGTATAT